CACTCAGGACACTTGGAATACATTGTACGACCAGTATGGAGGAATATTGACACGTTTTTTGTGGACTTTTATGGACCTTTCTGTCTCGGGCACCATAGACCTCCATTATTTGAATGTCAGCAGACAGCAAGAAGCCTCCCAGATCTCCAGATGCATTTGAGATATCATAAAAGTACTCCAGGGTGTTGTTCAGCATGGGGGTGAGTAGAAAATGAAGGCTAATCATGTTTTGGGTGTACTATTCCTTTAAGCAGTCTAATGGCAGTGGGGAAGAAACTGTTGTGGAATCTGCTGGACCTGCATCCAATGCTTCGAAGCCTCTTCCCAGAGGGCAGCAGGGAGAGCAGTCCATGGTGGGGGGGGGGGGGTGAGGAGTCATTGATGATGTTACGAACTTGGGACATACAGCACTGGGATGAAATGTTTTTAATGGAGTTCTTTGAAATGACGTGTTGTGAGTTGGAGTTATAAACAGTAGTTGAGTTGTAAAAAAAAAAGAAGGGGGATGATGTCATTTATTATTATTATTATTTATTTTTTATTTTTTTGGAAGCATACATAGCCTAATTAATATAATCTATTAACCTAAAGCAATATGGTTGTTACATGTCATGTATGCCGGTCATTAACCTTGATCAAGGCACCTTTCAGTAGAACTGCAGTGGGGGCATGGCTATCACTGCCCCCACATAGTTAGAACATGCAGAGGAAAAAGATCCCACTGGAATCAGCTTCATAGTCATGGTAGACCACTTCTTTGTTTTTACTTTGGAAAATCTTTGACATTGAATCTTTTAAGATTTGGAAAAAAGCCTCACAAAAAATTGAAAATTAATATCTGAAAACTTTTAAGTGAAGTATTTTTTAATTCAATCAGTTAAATTGACACAGCTGAAATAATTTTCAAATCTAATAATTTTACTCACCTTTCAAATATTAGTTTAGAGTATTTATTTTATAAAACAGACTGCTTAGCAGAAAATCAGTATTCCTGCTTTTGGCTTATTTAAAGTAATCTAGGCTACATGCTGGCAATGAATGAGTTAAAACTATTCAAACAGGTCTGTCGAACTATATTTACCACTGATCGGAATACAGGCGTTCTACAAGTCACATGAGGGACCTTGCAGTCAGATGTCAGACATTGACATCATATTTGACAGTTCTTTCAAGACAATAATCGTAATAATCTGTTGTGCAGAGACATACCTCCCCCGCCTGTGTCGCGCATCGCCCTAAACTCACGCCCATTGATGAGAAAACAGAGTGAAATATGAACGAAAATGGAAATTTTAAACATATTCTTAATGTTTTCATATTTCTTATACATGGATGCCTTAAAATTGATATTTTTGGTGGACAGATAAATTCAAATTTATAGGATTTTACTTGTCAGTCGATGTGCTACAGTCAGTGTGCGATGAATAAATCTTCTGCTCAGTGAATGCCAATTCCCCATTTTGCTATTAACACCATTCTAGATAATTTCTGAAACTTTAATTTTTAAACTTAGAACCTGGAACCTGCCAAAGATTTCCTCCACTCCTTATTTTCACATTCCCTCAAATTGCGTGTCTTTGCCGCTTGGCCGTGATGATTTTCAGAGCACCCTCACACAGGCTGTGCGCTACTCTTAAGAGCATGGCCTGCCAAATGTTGAGAGGGCAATATTATTGCCATTACTGTTAATATATTATAGAAATTTACACATTAAGTGATAAAATGTCACAGGGAATGGTATGGGGGATGGTCATTTAAGAAGGGGGATGCCATTCTCCCTCATCCCCCCTCAATTCGAGTACTGGTTATAAATAACTAAATGTTATGTCTTTGAACAGAAACTATATTCTACTGAAATTGCTATCCATGTCTGATTTTAAATGTTTGTTGCTAGTTGAAAAGGAATGAATAAAATTCCCATTACAACATTTGATACTGGTGTTCTAATTTTTTATTACTCTGTCAAACGTAATGTATTATTTCAACTATCAGTGAATCTTATGAAACTAGAAAGTAAACATAACATGCAGTTATTACAGCAGTTATTATGCTAAATATGTCATGATCATGGCTCTGAGAGCTGGCTTAATTGTGTGAAATAGTGTGAAAGCCCTTTGGGAAACTCCTCCAACTCCCATTGTCATTGTGACACAGCGCACACAAGTGAACACTGCACACCATGAAATTGCATTTATGCCTCACCCGTGCAAGGGGGCAGCCCTCAATGGCGCCCCAAGGGAGCAGTGTGGCAGGACGGTACCATGCTCAGGGTACCTCAGTCATGGGAGAGGATGGGGGAGAGCGCTGGTTAATTACTCCCCCCACCAACCTGGCGGGTCGGGAGTCGAACCGGTAACCTTTGGGATCCAAGTCTGACACCCTAACCGCTCACCCACGACTGCCTCTATTTTTTTATTAATTGCTAATTTCTTTCACCTGCCTAACTCTGGTCCACTTGCTCCTGTTTCTTTATATACGGCTCAGTTCCAGCTATCAGGGCCAGATCCTTGAGTTTGAGATCATCGCTGATGCCATAGTTCATGATCTCAATCTCGGGGGTCAGTGGGGAGAGAGTGTTTTTTAGTGTTTGGTAGTGTTTCTGTTTTCATGATCATGTTCCCTCTCTTATCCACTGAGTGTGCCTTGTCCCTGTCTTGGCTCAGAAGGAAGTTTTACCATATTGTAGTTCCTGATATCCTACCCTGTTCCATCACTTTGCTACTGGGTTTGCCTGTTCCCATTTGAACATTCTGCCTGGACCAGCCTGTTCCTTTCCTCATCGGTATCCCTGAGCGGGCTGCAGATTCCTGGCCCTCTTAGTCTTCCTCTTCTGATCAGTTTCCCTTTTCTGGCTTGGACTCCTGCTTGCCCTCTGGGACTACAGCATCTGGTTGACTCTGGGCGGCGCCCTCCTCCTCTAATTGGCAGCCCTTCGGCTGGGTCATACTGCGATCAATGGATATGGACTGAACTGACAAACCAGGTAAGTGACTCACATGGATAATCAGCTTCCATCAGTTTATCATGGTCACTTAACAGTGTTTTTCTCCACCAGAGTATCCTGTGATGGGCGGTGAGCAGCCACTGCAGATCGGCAGCTCCGCTTATGATTTTAATAAAATGCTTTGAATTTTCCCACTGTCTGTCTTCCCTGAATTCTTGCTCCTACCTGCTCTGAGCTTATGACAAAATGGTTATTGAAGTTGTTAATTTCTCTCTAACAAACAAAATTGGTGTTTTAAAAACCTGTTAGGATGTTATTAACCATTAAATGCCGGTGATTAGCGGTTATTGTCCGATAGAATGGCTTCAGACTGTGCCACCTCTAACTTCTGGTAGGTCTCCTTTTATACTATACTTTACTTTGAATTCATTCTTTTGGTCCTACTAATTTAATGTGGTGAATAAAACAATGTGGATCAGTTTATACCGTACACAATAGATAAAGAACTTCTATTATTATGTTCAGATCACAGATATAAATATCAATTGATTTTGTTGGCAATAGAGGAATTATCCTACGGTTAGGAATAATTTGGTTGCCCTGCGATGGACTGGCGACCTATCTAGGGTGTTACCCCGCCTCTCCCCCATAGACAACTGGAGATAGGCATAAGCACCCCTCGTGACCCAGCTTGAGATAAGCGTGATGGAAAATGGATGGATAGGAACAATTTTGTGATAGAAACCTACTGAACCTATTGAAAGGATAAAGTACAATCTGAAGACACTCTATGGGACAGATAACCACTAATAACAAAGCGATCACAGTTAATTTTACAAAGCCTTGCTCTGGATTAAATAGAATTTTTTTTATGGATTGGCACAAAAGATTACTCCTACCACTGATATAAAGGTGTGATATAATATAATTTCCAATAGAACAACTGAAAACATACTACTGGAAAATGCAGTGGAATATAAAATTTGGACCTTTCTTCTGAAACAACACAGTATCAACTAATAGTTTGAAATTAAAATTAAACCCAGAGACAATTTGTAGACTTTACTTAAACTATATACAATGAAATATGTGACAACAAATGAAGTAAATAGAAGTCAAAATGACCCAGGATGCAGCTAATGAAATCTAGCAATAGCTTCGTATTTCTGCATAACAAAGTCTCAATTTAAGTCATCACAGTTTCTCATAGAGCCTGCAGGTCCCAACTTCTGGGTTACAAACAGACATAAACAACACCAGTTTTTGATGACAGATTTTCCTTCTTCATGGTTTAGCACTTCCTGAAGTAGAAAGTAAATTACAGGTTCACTCCAGACACTCTTATCATGGTCTAATTTTAATAACACATAAAAGCCATGACTTGTGAAAAATAAACAAATGCAAAAAGATTACCTGTTAGAACTTCATTATATCCTATTCAATATTAGCAGAAACAGCATACCAGCAGTCTAGTTTTTACCATAAAAAGGGATTTGTTAGGTGTCCAATGGCAGTTTTTACGATTATCCATTGCAATGATCTGGTGAAAAGCTATAAGAATTGCAAAATAGTATTTCACAAAGGATCCTTTTCTTACAATACATTTGTACATTCATTAACCATGTCCAATGAATCAGTGGGAAATCCATACATGGCCATTTAACATTATTAATGTCTACTACCAAGCATATGCATGCTCCACTACTCAGCTCAAAATGCTGTAAGAAATAGTTTAAACTGATGTGTAACTTGCATCGGGTAGTGTGTGTGATAACTCTTTAGCTAAAGGTACCAGCTGCATGACACAAAGAAATAGATTTAAACTATTTTTGAAGTGAAAGTGAAATATGAATCTGAAAGTTATAATACACCAGGTGAATTTTGTATACAACTAAAACATTTTACAGGAACATTTTTTCAAACTTATGCATTTCATTACAAACTACCTGATTAAATATTCTTTCTGAGCATTTTGAGTCACAAGTTATATTGTTTGTGTAGGACTTATGTAGGACCGAATTGCTAAAATCTTCATTGGGCACTTAATAGTAATATAGTAGGTACTATTTATATAAGGAACACTCTCTTGATTACTTATTTTAAAATCTCTTTTTAACATCTCAATGTTCTTCAAATAATATTGGTGTCACCTGAACCTTGCTTCAGGATCTGAAGTGTAACAATTAATTTAACTGATTTCCTAAACCAAGGGTAAAATAATGCATAGATTAAAGGGTTCAGAGTGGAATTAAAATAGAATAGAAGGAAGGCTACAGATGAAGCACTGACACCATCGTCCTCAGCCATAAGAGTAACACAGTAGTAGGGACAGGTGCATATAAGAAACACAACTACAACAACCCCAAGGATGACAGCTGCCTTCATTTCAGATTTCTTAGCTGTGACACTTACTGAACTCTGGAGTGACACATCTGCCACGTGAGACTGCATGGCCCGAGCCTGAGCCACAACTACCACAAACACTCTCACATATAGAATAATAATCACAGTGACTGGACCGATGAAGGACAATAAGAGATCAAAAATTCCTCCTATATAATCAACAACAACTGCACACTCTCCAAAGCAGGAATTATATCTGCCTGGTTTTTGCAGGTTATTCCTCAACAGAAGACTGTGAAAAAGAACAGAGGAAATCCAACATGCTATGACACAAATCTTTGCTCTTTCTGCTGTGACTTTACTAGGGTAATGTAAGGGGTGACAAATTGCCACATAGCGGTCAACAGAAATAAGGACCATAGTTCCTACTGAAGCAGAGGTAATTGCATAATCTGAAACAAAGTAGAGGGAACACATGATGTCCCCAAGATACCAGCATCCATCTATCAGCATAATTTGAAATGAGATGAGGAACCCGACCATGCAATCTAAAACAGCCAGAGAGAGCAAGAGGATGTTGGTGGGGCTGTGGAGCTTCCTACAGAAATAAGATGACAATACATATATGTTAGAAACATGTTCATTTTAAAAGATATGTCTTTGCACACACATTTCAAACTGTTAAATATTTCAATTACTTAAAGTGGCAGACAGTGATGATGACCAGTAAGTTAGAAATCACAGTAAGAAGAGAGATCAGGAATAGAGTGACATAAATAAGCATGGATACTGCAGGAGCATGCATGGTCTTCTTGCATGATGAGTTGAGTTGTGGATAGCAGAGTTCATTTTCTTGATAAATAGATTGCATTTTTATAAATCACACAGAGAGATGTAAATTCTTGGAACTCTACCATCTTTCTAGCAGAAACCTTATGGTGTGTCTCTACCTTGGCATGATATGGAGGATTGTCCTCAGTAGTTAATCTCAGAGGGAGGGAGAGGAAATCACATGAAAAGTTGTTGACAATGTCACAAACAAATCAGAAATTAAGTTCTCAGATTTAACAATGTAAAACCTATTGTAAGTGGGGGGTAACTTTAGACAAAAAAGTGGACGGAGCTAAACAAGGAAGGGAGTACAGACTAGGAATCAATATATCTGGAATAGAAGAGATTATGGTGTGTGTACACAAAACACAAACTGGTTCAAACAAAACACCGTAATTTTGGCTGCAGAATAGTACTGTGATAAATATCAACCTGCAGGAAATTGTGCCCAGAAAATATATTTACTATTATAGATAGCATTTGAGGGGCTATATACAATTTTGGGGATGGGAAACCATACTTTTTATGCATAAAGCAATAAGAACACCTGACTTTACTTCACCTACAGCTACAATCGATACTTTAGAGGGAATGCACACTTAATATGGTAGTTTATTTGATATAACACATATAAGAGGAGATTTTTGATCTGGTCAGGGGATCCAAATATGACAAATGTTGACTGGTTCTCAGAATGTTGGAACAGATTTTTTTTTTTTTTTGGTTCTTTGATTTCTTTATTTTTTATTTTTTTTTTTTTTTACATCGGAGCACTGCTTTTTTTGGAGAATATTTTAAATGGACTATAGCTGGACACTTTGTATAGAGGGGGTGCAGTCGAATTCAACACCTTCAGGAACTGTGTACTGCTGAGTTTTGGGAACGCAGCAGCGAGTCAGAGTACAATCCTGTGCTCTGAGCAGATAAACAATTCAATATGACATTTCCTCTTGAAGGAAGGAACACCTTTGACGCTCTGTTTCCTTCTAACTCTATGTGATACTGCTCATGACACAGGTAAAGACTTATCCTTCAGGGGGTGTGGGGACACAAGACTCTTATGGTTCAAAGCTGCTGTGGTAACAGAGGATAACCTGATGGACTTGTCCGAACATCGAACTTTTTTGCATTTTGGAGAGGATCACTGCTCCAAGATACACTTTCTCTTCCAAGACCAGTAACAGGATGGCTCCTGACCAGTTTCCCACATATAGATCCACTCACATAGACACACACACATACAGTCACGTAATAACACACCCACACATGGTTAATGACTCGAAGAACACACAAGGCTCCACATGGGAATGATTTTTTCTTTCATGCACCAATATTCACGGATACAAGGTCTGATAGGGGAGTTTTAAATAGGGGGAATCTGCGCCAAGCTGGGTTTTTCTTAGAGATTAAAGAACTTTAATCATTTTCAATGGGGAGGGGATAAAAGTAAACTAAGATGCAGTTATAAGTTTAGACGAAACTAAAGCTTAATATGCTATGATGTAGAAATGGTTTTAAAATTTCTTTATTTAATCCATGAATTGAGTGCTACAATGTGTAAAACAGGGTTAAATGTTTTCTAAATATCTACAGGTTCCTTGAATGAGATTATATTAGTTGCAGTGATTTTGAGCTTATATGAACAAAATAATGAGCTGAAACATAGGGTGTTCAGGCTGAATACATACTGGTATAGATAACTTTCAACTGCCAGGCATTCAAAGGTTGGTTATTTTTAATGTTTTTTTGGTTTTTTGAATAGACACTGAAATAATCTGCTGAAAAAACACAGAGTCCATGGATAATAATTTAAATGTAGTAAATTTAATGGTGATTTAAGGGATAAAGGGAAAGTAGGGGACATAACTTCCCCATTTTAACACTATGCTGCATGAAATACTAATGTCAACGGTGTACTTGGCCACAACATTGGTATAATAAATGACAAGCAGCAGTACCAGATTTATTGGAGAAGTAAGGAACAGAATGGGGAAGTTATTTTGCTTTCCCCCACAATTTCTGCCAGGCACATGCACATACTTATGTCTGTCATATATTAAAGTTATTGACTAGCACTGATTAGAGTTTACTTTACAAACACCAGCTGACTGACCCCCTACTGTTGAAAAACCATATACAGTTTAGCATGGATCTTGTGTTCGAGAACCAAAGTTTAACTTGGAGAATTTGGAATGTGATAAAATTAGCTATTCACTAATTTAAACCAATTTACAATGCAAATCCATGAGGTGAATAAAAAAGTTATTTGGCCAAATAATGTTTTATTAAATGATTTGCTTAATCAGGAACCAATAACCTTCAGTTAAAAGATTCCTTACCCTCTGTGAAATAGCTAGCAGCAAATAGACATGAGGATTCAATTAAATTACTTTTGGTCATAATTTGGTAATGGAAATGTAATGAGCATATTAGGAACACATGAACTGTACAGTCATATTTTTATATTACTGTTTTTATATCTTTATTCTTTTAAGCTTTCTTAACTACTTTTAAAGGCTGCATTTAAAAAAAAGATGAAATTGTCCAGAGAGCTGTTCCAAACAAAATTTATTTTTGTTTTACATTTGTGTAAACAAAATGACAAATAAAATCTGTCTATGTCTAAAGTCTAAGTAGCGTCGCATAGCGTACCATAAGATCCATCCTGTTAGCATTGTCTTTACTCTTCAGAAAACACATGAAATGATCAAAATAATCAAAAGACATACTGTTTAACTAGAATATTTCCCTAAATATGCAAGACCTTATACCTGTGCTTATGTGTGTGTGCCATGATATTGGTCATTATGGCTGTCTTTATTGCTCATTTCTGTTTCTCGTCATCCCTGTTTCTCATTACTGCTCATCTGGTCCACCTGTTTCTGCTTCTATTTAAAATCCTTGACCCCAGCCATCAATGCAAGATTATTCCTGAGTCTTTGCACCAGCCCACCTGCTGCTCCACCTCCTGTCTGATGAGGCCCACCAACGTGGTGTAGTCTTCAAACTTCACGATGTGATTGGTGGTGAACCTGGGGACACAGTCGTGTGTCATCAAAGTGAACAGCAGGGAGCTCAGGAGGCGGCCCTGAGGGAAGCTTGTGTTTAGGGTGATGATATTAGAGGTGTTCTGTCAAACCCGGACTGACAGGTCTGTTTTGTGAGTAAGTCTAGCAGAAAGTTGCAATAGGGGGGTATTGAGGATCAACTGTTTCAGTTTGCCTATTGGATGCTGTGGGATGATGGTGTAGAAAGCTGAACTGTAAGTGAATGAATATTAATAAGTTGCACATCAAACAATGTAGCTACATTCATTCAGGTTATGCATATAAAATATGGTGCCGTTTTAACATGGATTTGCTGTCACAGAGGCCCGCTGTTGCCATAGGCTGTTGCTACCCGACAGCGGCGACTAATAACAAATATAGCGCAGGCACCGCATAGTGGAGAACAATTTACGTGATAAAGCAGTGATCATCTGTCTAGGGTGATCAGGCGACATGTCCTACTTTTCTTACCTAATAAATGTCCGGGGAGAATTTCAAAATCTTCTGTTATTATGGTCGACTACAGTGCAGCACGTAGTCAAAACACACCGGGCACTCGAACTGAGCTATCAGCTCTGGGGCTGGTCCAGGAACCCAGCGGACGGGGGCAGGGAGCCAACAGAGGTAACAGAGGTCAGGTACAGCTATATGTGTTCAGAACGTTTTGAGTCAATGTTTTTTTTCCTCTCTGCTGCTGCTCCCGTGTCTCGAATCTTGGTGTAATCTCGCTTTGAGATTTTCGGTCGCATTTCACTGCTTAGAGAGTAGCTATTTTCAGGACCATAAGGCGTACTGTACTAAAAGGCGTAGTCTCAGTTATGTGTGCCATTTCTGTGTTTAACACACATATAAGGCGCACCGGACTATAGGGCGCATTTTTTATATAGGCTACAGGTACATGTCCTCTACTACGTTTAAATACCTTTACTGCGTATTTAAAAATAGAGCGGGATGAAAACTGAGTATGATTGTGCTTTATTCATGTATTTATTACAAAGTATTAATCAAACCTGGGAGCTGGCCGTGAGACATTCCTATTGTTGTGCACCGCTGGTATGTGGGGGTCTGAGCGGCTCCAACAGAAATAATATTAGAAGGCAGGATGATAATCTGGGTGAACTGACTGCAATGATTAAGTTTTCAGGTGGATTTTCTCACTTAAAAATATATTAAAACTACTTTATTCCCACTGATCACAGCAAATATAGCTGCAAGGTGTATTTACTACAAAGTATTATTCAAACCTGGGAGCTGGCCGTGAGACAGACACATCGCTGATGACACAGGGCTGTGATCACTCCTCTGAAACAGTTTATTGATGCATAAATTTACTTAAAATCCTGAAACCTGCCGACAGAATATGTTCGCTTTTATTATCCTATTATCCTTTTATAATCCTTAAGATTATTTAGATGAAAAACACCTGCCAGCCGCCACGGTGAACCTGGAGGCGACCCGGCCCAGAAGCTGCTGTTGAATTAAGTTTTCAGGTAGAAAAATAGAGCGGGAGCAAAACTGAGTATGTTTGTGCTTTATTCATGTATTTATTACAAAGTATTAATCGAACCTATCGAAGTCATCATCCTCTGTTTCTGAATTAAACACCTGCGCTAAATCAGACATGCCAATTTCCCCTTCTTCGCTGTCAGAGTCACTTTCCGTGCCGGACGGCTCCTCGGAAATGATGCCGGCTTTTGCAGAAGCTCGAACAACAGCAGACACGTTAGTCCAAGCATCAACAACCCATCCGCAAACGGTGGCGTAACTTGTCCGGCGCTGCCTTCCACTTTTCGTGGAATTATTCTGCCGGCAAAATATGTTCGCTTTTATTATCCTGCTGCCTGCAGTTTGACGCGTGGCTGAAGCAGCTTTGCTGCTCTGCCTGCACGGTGCAAAAGTGTGTCTGACGCGCGTTGGGCGGAGCTATCCTATCCTTTCTTTGCCTTGCAGCTATATTTGCTGTCCAGCAGCAAAACTTCAATTTTTCCATCTCGAGCAGCAGCAGCGCGTTGGCGGCGCGTCAAGCGCGTCAGATGCTTAAACGCTCCCCACGCTCAAAACACGCTGCGGGACCTTTTGCTGCTGCCCCTATATGCGTGTCAACCAGTGACTTTGCATGTAAACTCGCTGCTTCTGCTGCACCTGCTGCGTCCGGTTTACACCGATGTCGAGCGGTTGAATAACAGCAAGCACAGCATTCATTTGTTTCACCATGTTTTTCACATCAGCTGTGAGATGGGCACGCTAGGAGTCACAGATTAACAGCAATGGTGATGCGTGGAAAAAAACCACTTGGTCTCATTACATTCACCTCCCTCAGCCTCTCTTTCATCATCTCCTTAATGAGGAGATGAGGAGTTCTGCATGGTGCATGGTGGTCTCAAAAGTCCGCAGTAACAACACACATAGGGCGCACCGCACCAAAGGGCACGCCGCACATTTTGAGGGAAAAAAAAGACGTTTATATGCGCCTTATAGTCATGAAAATACGGTATATGTGGTTTGAGGCGACAGACACAGCAGTAGTCAGTGTATATTAACCAGCAGCTACTTCAATGTTTAAGTAAAAGTTAGGAGATGGGTTGGTTTAAATAATTAGAGATGCCCCCAAAAAATCTGTTCGTAAGACTTATGAAGCTTTTTCAGCTAAAAATGGCCATAGATTGTAAGTTTAAACAAGTTGGTACTATACTGCAAGAAGCTTGAGAAAACATAGTTTGTTCTTCTTTACTAGTTAAACAAATCTTCCAGTTACAGGTTAAAATTAACATGTTTATTTTGTTGTACAGACAGAGTCAGACTGCAGAGCTTCTATATAGCTTGAAATTTTGCTTCTGATATCATTATATTAGTAAAGAGGTTTATAAATCTTTTTAAACAGAGCACCGAGAGAAGACGCCAGAGCTGCAAATTTAAAGGTGAAATAGATTTACTGGGATATGCAACATGCAATAAAATATATCTCCAAGTTTATCAGAAAGTTTACAAGAGATAAATATGCTATTCTGTTTAAAATGCAGCATATCCGTGCGGTTTCATTTAGTGGAGTAATCGCTCCTACATATTAAAGAAAAGAGTTTATAACAAAGACTCTTAGATTTGCTGCACATGTTTTGCTCATTTCTTAATTATCACCTTCAAAACTAAGTTAATTCCCAGTTAGCCATCTGTTGGTAGGGAACCCTATCTGTGTCAGATCCCATGTGTTGGTTACTTGGGTTCCTCCTTTGCATAATTTCAAGGGGAGAAAATGAAGAGGATAAAGAAAGAGTTTCAGGCAAATTGGTATCAGAACTCTTTGGCTTGTGGTCTCATCCTATCTGATCATGCAAAGCCTTGAGGAGGTTGAACTCTGCTTTCCTCAGCTCATCAACTTCTCCTGCAGGAGGATCCTACGTCCTCATTCGACATCCATGCTCATATACTTTTCACTGTCTTCTTTGTCTTGGCTCACAGTGACTCTTAACTTACTGGTCATCATCTCCATCGCCCATTTTAAGTAAGTAGATCTTTAAAGGTATTGAGAGTTGAGACGGATGGATTTTTTTTAGACAACTTTTTGTCACAGAATAACTTTTTAATGCACATATATTGTTGTTTTTTTCCAGGCAGCTTCACACACCCACCAACATCCTCCTCCTCTCCTTGGCGGTTTCAGATTTCTTTGTAGGCTTCCTAATCATCTTTCAGATTCTCCTTATTGATGGCTGCTGGTATCTTGGTGACCTTATGTGTATTATTTATTACATCATTGATTATATTATTACATCTGCATCAGTAGAGAACATGGTGCTTATATCAGTTGACTGTTATGTCGCTGTTTGCAACCCTTTTCAGTACCCCACAACAGTCACTCAAAAAAGAGTGTGTGTTTGCGTTTCATTATGTTGGATGTTTTCTACCGTCTGTGTCTTTATAGTCTTCAAAGGGAATCTGGAACAACCAGGCAGATTCAATTCATGCTATGGAGAGTGTGTAGCTGTGTTTGATCAAGTTGCTGGCTTAATAGATATTTTGTTTTTTTTCATTGGTCCTGTCACTGTCATCATTATTCTGTATGTGAGAGTATTTGTGGTGGCTGTGTCTCAGGCTCGTGCCATGCGCTCTCATGTTACAGCCATTTCTCTCCAGAGTACAGTGAAAGTTAACCTTAAGAAATCTGAGCTGAAATCAGCAAGGACTCTTGGGGTTGTTGCATGTACATTTTTAATATGCATCTGTCCATATTTTTTTCTCTCACTAACAAGTGAGGGCACTGAACTAAATGTTTTATCATTTGCCTTTTTTCTGTTTTATCTAAACTCCTGTCTAAATCCAATAATTTATATAATATTTTATCCCTGGTTTAGGAAATCTATCAGACTAATTTTTACCCTGCAGATACTGAAGCCTGGCTCCTCTGAGTCCAACTTAGTGTAGAAAGCAAGGTGTCTGTGATGAAATCTGGATGTATTCTGTTTATTTGACGCGTCACTCTAATTTTCATTTTGATCTGTTTTAACTTATTTTTCAACTGCTTTTCTGAACTAAATGCATGATAATTAACTGATGTTGCAACTTCAACTAATAGCAAATAAATAAAAAATGTTTCAATATTACAAATATTTCCTTTAAAAGACTTGGTGCAGGGATTTAAATATGGTGTAACATGTTTTATGAATAGAATGCTATGAGAGAATGATATTTTTACCATTATAATCATTTTTGTTTCAATGAGGACACAGTGATTGTTATCTGTACTGACCTTTTTATTTCCACACATGTATGAAATAGTATTGTTGTTAATGTGATTAGAAGGCAAGCCCATGGCACTTTTGGATGAAAAATACTTTACAATGTTTTACTATTTTCCAACATAAGGTAGAATCTTCCATAAGTACACTTTTCCCAGTGTACTTATGTTCAGTAGGTATTTTCAAACAGGGCAATGACCCAGAAGAACCAACCAAACCTGTTAAAGAAATGTAGTAATAATACTAACATGGTTTGAAAAATTGCAGCATGATGTCAAGTTCCTGAAGCAACAAAGCAGTTCCAGACCACAATTACCACAAAAACTAAAACTGCTTTCTGTCACGTTTCGAGAATATTCACCCAAAGTTCTTAAAGACCCTTTCAGATATTTTATGCAAGATGTCAGACAGCCTTTTTTTTATTACTAACATGGTAGTAGCAGTTTTGGCCTTAAACTTCCCATGGTTACATTTCTGACCAGTACTTCTGATGTTATTGAATTAAGAAAATGTCCCTTGAATGGAAGTGAGGACTGCTCTGGTTCAGCTGTTGTTCAGAGTTTTTCATTAAAATTTTTGTTTTTAAGCCTAAAGTCTGTTGTCTGGCTGGTGAAATTGAAGCGAAAAATGTGGTTGATCACAGATAGCCAATGGTTTAACGAGAAGAGATCTTTTATCTAAATAGACAGTATTCAAATTGTATTCAGTTTTTCCTAAGCTCATTACTGTCCAAAGCAAAATTCAAAAGACATCATTAGGGACTCACATATGTTATCAGACCACTGTCTGAATAACTTGTTTCTGATGCACCAGTTTAAATCTTTTGTGGACTTAAGCAGGAGCATCCAATTGCTGTTTATAATTGTCCCTATAATTGTATATGTACTGCAACCTGGAAAAAATAATAAGTCCTAAATAATGACGTTTATGTGTATAGAACTTCTGAAAGCATAATCAGTAAATCAGTACAAAATAAAACCTTTAAGTGATCTAAGATGATATCCTGTGCATTTGAGTTCAAACAAAAGTTACAATAAGGTGTCTATTAATATGATCACATTTATTAACTTTAGTCAAACAAAGAGATCTTACCACTTTCAATGCACATTAAAGTGAAATGGGCCACAAAGTAGCTTTGCACACACAAAAAACACTCATAGAAGCTGGTAACTGCATCACTGTACATGACCCTGTTTCATGTTTGACTAACACATTTCATATTTGTTTTGCTTTGTTACCACTTAAGCTTTCTTGATGCTCTGCATGAAATATTTAACTAAGCCTGAGCTATTTATCCTTCTTTACACCAGGTGAAAAACTGTCTGTTTGGCGCCATTCCAGATTACTCATCTCTCAAGCTTTGCCTAAAGCTTTGAAGATACTTGTAGTGCTATTTTCTTTGGACCACAATGTGACATAATTGCTATTGCTAGACAATTAGAATGGGGTGCTCTGTACCTTTATAGACTTTATGACAATTTAATATTCTCACAGTTAGAACATTTTCTGAATCCCTAACAATCCAAAAACACATTCCTTACTGCTTGCTACACCTCATCACAAAATGCAAGTTCAAAAACTATTTTCAAACCACGCATAACTTTCTGCTAATCCAGCTAAAAGTAGACAATCATCATACCTTTGCACACAATGAGTCATTGTTAAATTGTCAACGAACATTGTCACGCATAATCCCCCCCCTCTTTTAAAGGTGTCTGCTAATTGCAGTGTTTTGAAAGCGGAATGTTTCCTTCCAAAAGCCAGTTTGAGAAGACAAAATGCCATGTGATGAAAGGAAAAGAAGCCTTCGCCCTGTCACACGTAAACAAGTTTGTGCATGTATATACAAGCAGGTTCAGTGTTGTGTCTTCTTCACACTGTAAGGAAAGACATGCAGATAACTCACTGAGAATCTGGACAGGTTTCCCATCAGACACTAAGGCGCTCTTCTACTCTGTCACCACAAGGTGAGAAATTGACAAAAATGTTCAAATTCTGCCAATACATTTAGCTGTACTTATTTAATATACTCTTTATTTTTCTGATTAACCAAAATATAGCTTTAACCCAGTTTTATTGAACTATTCAATAAAGGCAATAAGCTGAATCTGGGCTGTTTGTATTGCATCCTTCCTGAGCAATTACAATTCAAAATAAAATGTACATTTTTATGTTTTTATAGAAAGATGCCTTGATCATCTTCTAAGTTATGTTTTCCTCTGTATAAGTGTTACTTGTATTCACTTCATCTTAGACATAGATTATTAATGCTCAAAATGAAAAACAAACAGGCAAAACTTGTTACAAAAAGCAGAAAGAAAAACAAATCTTGTGCAATAATTTATTATTAGTAACTTTTTACCTTTATCTGCAACTTGTAGCTGTGTCCCTGCAAAATCCAATAATCACAAAATTGCAAAATATCCGTTCTTTGCTTTATATTCTTACCCTGGAAACATTTTTGCACAAGTGATAGTATTTACATTAAACGATAGAGCTGCATTTAATCCTGGTCAAAAGCATAATCATGTGATAGAATAGCAAATGAAATTTACCAGAATGTATGGGATTCATTTAAACTTGCTGTTTAAAGATGCTCTGCATACATACAAATACAAGCTAAGAAACGAGGGCAATAGTTTCAGTTTTTAAAAATGAAGTGATGGTGGCGAAATAACCGGAAAGGCTTGGAGCAGTTGCAAAAAAATTATCTTAAATCTATACACAGGTGACTGAATACAAATAAAGGCTGCACAAAATATTATAATGATAATTCGCAATCACAATTGTTTTGGCCTTTCACTTGAAATCCGAATAAATCTGAGAAGGTTGAAGGTATCTAAGGTACATTTTTTATGTTAATTTACAGGTGTGGTGACTGTGTCTGAGTTTAAGATCCGTAGACATGTTCGTCTTCAGACTATGCTTGATAGGATTCAGCGTCCTGCCAGGTGAGACGGTTTTATAATGCAAAATGTTCCCCTGAGTGTGTCTGTATCTCTTCCTAATGCAAATATTAAAAAAAAACATATTTCAAAAAGCTAATGTTTTGTTGTACACTTATTGTTAGATTTTTTTACACGTCCATAAACAGGATTGTTGTAAAATGTGTAACCTGGTATTTGCAGATATCATTGGTTGGCATCACTGATGTCGTGATTTTGAGATATTTGCTTTTGGTTTTCATTTGACTACTTGTTTTTTTAGATTCTAGTTTGCTTTGACCATATTTTACGTGCACGTATGTTTGTTAAGTTCTAGTCATGCTTCAGCCACCTAATTAATAATACTGTTTCCATTTAGGTAGGTTTTTGTTTTATTTACTCGTCATGGGTGAATATGCTTTTCTTGCCATACCGTGACAAACTGCTGGGAAACAAAACATTACATCTATGCACTGGTCTGCCTGTTTCCACTTTTGGTTCCGTTCCACACCTTACAACTTAACCTACATTTTTAAAAGACAAAAAACAAAACAAAATAAGTGGTAATGTATAAAAACAGCTCTGCTTCTTCTTAAAAAAAGAAAAAAGAAAAAAAAAGCTTACTGTTGTATAAAAAGACTATTCACTTGATCTGAATGCTTTTCCTCTTTTAAGAAAGAACAATATAATAATCCTAGATTTCTATTATGTTTAGTGACAGGCTTTGAAGAAGAACCTGTTGATGAAGTAACTTAATATGAATAAAAACAAATTAAAAAGCTTGTTATTATTTTTGATTCATTGTCATTTAAACACCATATCAAAAAGGTTTCGACAATTTTATTCTTTTACGTCTGGAATAATGCTTAATTAGAATTATCCAGGAATGATGCTAAAATCCAACTCCATACTTAAAGGCTGGACAACAAACTATTTTAGAGTGCCTTCATTAGCTTCCTGTTAAATCCAAAACAGAATAAAAAAGTATTCTTCCCACATATAAAGCCCTTAATAATCGTACTAATTTTTATATAATGTAAAGTTTCTCCTGCTCATAACAGAGCTCTTTGCTTTTTATCTGCAGGTTTATTAGTGGTTCCAGAGTATCTAAAAGTAGAATTGGAGGGAAAAAAAATTATTTTCAGTTTTCCTCTCCTGTTGAACCAACTACCAGTTTTAGTATGTGATGCAGACATCCTGTGTACTTTTAAGGCTTTGAGATGTCCATTTTGATAAAGTTTTTAGTTAGAGTGGCTCTGATTATCCTGAGCTATCTCTGTTGTTATACTGCTTTAGTCTTTTGCCCTATACTGGGCTACAGTCTCCTACTATTTTCCAAATTAGCTTTTTTTTTCTTACAGTATGTCAACATTTACTTCATTGTCAGTGTTTGTTTGTTTTATTCATAACTTGCCATTCTCCCTTTAATCTTTTATGTCTTTAATAGGGGTTCAGAGCTCTTTAGCTCCTAGTTAAAGCCACTAAAATAAAATAAAAAATGTTGATTAAAATAGATCCAAATAACAGCACACAACAGCTCATTCCATCTAACAGTTTAATCAAATCCTGTAAACAGTTTTCTGTCTAAGGAAACTCAGTTTATATTGACAGCAGAATTTAGTCCTCCTGGATGAATATGAGCATGGACAGTCACTTGCAATGTGACTTTGCGGCAATACTTAATAACAAGCTCAAAATGAGCTCAATCTGTAATTAACTTACTTTTCTCCCTCATAGAAAACTCTTGTGGATTTACTGTATGCTTCTTTGTTGCTTTTTTATGTTTTCTGTGTAATGTATGTAACTACATAGATTTATTGCTCTTAAAAGAGTTTTCCTCTCCACTTTTTTTAAAGGCCTTCTTCACATTGAGTGACTGCATCAAAATAAATGAAATAATGGTAGAAGCTGTCGTGTGTTACTACATTCTCATCCAGGAAGAGTTAATGCTGCAAGTCAATGTTCTGATGCGATATGTTGGGTTTCCTTAGATAGAAGGATAGATAGATACTATCTAACCTTCTACAAAGTAATTAGAAACTAGGTTTATATCAACTGCAAATCTTAACAATAAGAATACATTGAAAATGTGCATAATTGACTCATATGCTGTCTTTTTTTCTATCAAAACGACTTTGTGCCTTGAGACGTTGTGTTATGAATTTGCCATTCATAGATAACCCAAATAAACAAAATAATTACTTAATGTTCTTTCTGCATCACCTAAAGGGAACATGGATGTTGTGTAAATTGTTTCTTTCTCTGTTTTATCAGTTGCAGCATGGACAGGCCAGGATTTTATCAGTTCTGCAGAAATGGATATCTCTTCCTGTCCGATTACCTACTACGGCCAAAAATATGAGACAGCATTTGTGAGTAGTGATCAGTTTTTCATATGATGACTGAGAGGTAGACCAGACATCTGCAAACTTTACAATCCAAAAGCAAGTTCAATCTGAAACACTCTTATGGAAAGAAAAAGACAATTCATGCATCCATCCATCCATTTTCTAGCACGCTTATCTAGCACGCTTCTGGGGTCACGAAGGGTGCTGGTGCCTATCTCCAGCAGTCAATGGGCGAGAGGCGGGGTACACCCTGGACAGGTCGCCAGTCCATCGCAGGGCAAAGAAAAAGACAATTACAAGAATTTTATTGATACAATTACTTTATGACTTTGGAACTCGGGCAGGAAACATTAGTGCTGAATTTTACTTTAATATGCTTAAGCAGGTGTATGAGAACAGGGATGTTTCCTCCCAGGTCTGAAACTGGTGGTGTAGATATATGAAGTTGGTTCAGTCCATAGACTGCTGGTTGGCGAGACAATCTGCTTGAGCTCAATTGGTGAGATCCAGCAGACTTTGTGAGCTGATACTAGTGCCTCCCTCTAGACCCGGAAGATAGATGCCCAGCTCGGAAAAACACAGGTTTGCATGAAGCTGTCCATGATGAGCAAGCATGAAGCAACAGTGGAGAGGAAAAACTCCCTTTTTAGAAGAAACCTCTGGCAAAACCAGGCTCAAAATGGTGATTGAAATGTGGCGGGAAATCCAGTAAGAGTTCGGGAGGAATTAGGCTCAGATAGGGATGAGGCTGAAGAAGCACCATGGAAAAGAAAGATGAAGCTTAGCTATGATGGTGGAGAAGGGGCTCGAGGTGGATTGCATCTGGGGTCATCTAATTCTAAATAAGACAGTGCTAGCACTGTGTTAACTGTGCTGGGTAGCAGTGGATTTGAATACTTTTTAAGATGAACTCTGGATGCTGATTAGGCTTTGTGGAGGTGCGGTTCAAAGGTGATTGGTTTGGGTCTGAGGCAGAGAGCCTCTGATGATCAGGCCAAGTCAGTTAGTTTCTTCAGTTGAACTTCCACCTTGGCTTCATATTTTGCCTTCACTCAAGTAAATTAAGCTCTTTTAGAACCGCAAATGTCACATGGCCTATTAAAAAAGGTTATATGTATAAAATATATATATATATTTTTTATTTTTTTGTAAGCGCAGCTTTCCTATGAAAAATAAGAGTTGCTACTTGTTGGAAACAATAAACCATGATTTATTTCAATAGTTTTTAGGTTAGCGATCAAGACAAGTTATAGGAGAGTGTGATAAAACACATTTTTGACTATTAACATCGTTTCAAATGATAACTAATACATTTATAAAAAAAACAATAATGAAATTAAATAATCAATATATCCTTATACTTTGATTGATACAATAATTGCTGAAGTTTTATGTATAAATGGTTTTAATAATTAAATTGAATGGTTGAAATAAATTTTGTAGTCTAACAAGTTAATCTTTTTTTTCTGTCTGCTGAATAGGTGAACTTCAATACAAACAGATTTTCAGTTTGCTTTAGGGGTTCATACAGACCGGGGATTCAGAATGACTGCATTTTGATATCTGGTGGAACAGCGGACAGAGGCAACCTGTTCATGCTCAGGAAAGAAATTCCCACGGGATCTGGAGTTCACAAGCTTCTGCCAAACCTTAAATATGCTGGAAATTGTGTGAATGTGCTTCCACTGAAGGATAGTGAGCATTATGTGGTGAGTCGCCTTAATGTATATAACTGCCAAATGTAAGCTTGAAAGTAGGACAGTAAATTAAACTAAAATAATTAATTACTTGTCAATAGATTCAGCAGATTGAACTTGGAAACTTTGGAGCACAATCAATCCTGGGAATCAAGACTTTATTTAGATACAGTGACGCCAATCTGGTATGTTTTATTATTTTATTATGAAAATAGGAAAACTGCAGGAAAACTACACATCAATATGTTTTCATAGTTTTTTTTTTATAAAGAAAGAAAGTAAGTAAGTAAGTTAGTAATTAAGTAATTGATGGCCTTGTTTACCAGCCAATAGTGCTGGTAGTACTCTTAGGGCCGGATTTATCAAGATCCAATTTTGCGTGCAGTAATTTGTGCTCGCAAACTGGAATTTTGCGCGAGGGGCTGAACCATGGTTTGCGGGTGATTTAACAAGAGTGATTGCGTAACTGGTGGCAGATGCAAAACTGTTGGAGACGCCCTATTTAAATGATGGTTTTGCACGTTTTGTGGTTTTCGGCAAAGTAGTTTGTAGTTTGTACAAACTAGTGCATTAAGAAATTTAAATCTTACAGTGACACCCCCACCCCCTCCAAAAAAAAAAATATATATATATATATATATATATATCTATATATATATAGATATATATATATATCTATATATATATATATATAGATATATATATATATATATATATATATATATATATATATATATATATATATATATAAATATATATATATATATAAACTTTGGCAACCTTTATTCCCTAAGGTGGTATGTGGCTGAATTTCTACTTCACTGCAGTAAAAAAAAACAAAAAACAGGTGTTTTGTATTGGCCTGTACAAAAATGCACATACCAAATGGCTCACAAGAAGTGACTGTGGATGAGATTACTGCGCGTACGCATCCCCGCAGCATTGGCATGTTGCTCCACAGGCGCAGGGGGGTGGTCTGGGTTCTCCGGTAGGGCGTCAGGGCGACATGGCATTTAGAATGTCGGACAGCACTTCTGAAAAACTAGATTGGGAGATCCCAGCTCTCGCTGCAACCGTACGCTGGAATGACCCAGTGGCAAAAAAGTGCAATGTTGCAAGGAGTTTTGTGATATCTGGTATTGTAAACGCCCCATATTGCATATTCATTGCAGAAAAAGTACTAAATGGATAAGAGGCGCTATTTAGCACGTTTTAAAGACCAAATCCTTTTAGCACGCTGTTGATAGATCAGTTTGTACATTATTTAGCGTGCGCAGTGAAATAGCTCACGTTTTTATACACGCAAACCTTTGATAGATCCGGCCCATAGACTTTAATTTTTTGATTATGCAAGTGAGTAATAACATCAGTCAAGGCTAAAGGTTCTTACAAAAGAAGAAAAACACAATGTTTATATTAAGTTGGACCTTTTCTGTTAGGTGGCAGATGCCCAGGTCAATGGACTCACCGTGTTAAAACAGACTTTCAACACCTCTGAAACAAATGCTGGTGTTATCACCGAAGTGAGTGGATGCAGGCTTTCAGGTGAGATTAAAAAACAAAACAAAAGGAACATTGTCTTAGGATTTTGAAATAGTGTTATTTTTTTCTTTTTGTATTCTCAGCACGGGTTTATATCACAAACACAACGGTGATCGACCGAAGTATCTGTTCCACTGTAACTTGTGATGTGAGCGGAGTTGCAACAGCTGTGAGTTACTGTCGTCCAATGGAGCACTGCCGAGCAGATGGCCGGTAAATATCCAAAGAAAGAGAAATACAACTTAAAATGTGTCAGGATCACAGCCAGGGTAGCTGATATAATTACTCACTTCATTGCCATACCCTTTCCGCTCTCTAATGATCACTGATCTTATCTACCTGCTCCTGCTGCTTTTTATACTGTTCAGCCCAGCTATTGGGGCCAGATTGTTATTCGTAGTTATTTGTGTTAGCTATTCTTGTTGGTTTTTTCATAATTGTTTGTTTGAGTTTTAGTTAAAGCCATGGTTCATGTCCCTGCTCTCAGTGGCCAATGTGAAGTGAGGGTGTTTGTGTTTGTCTCCTGTCTCCTGATCGTGTCCCAGCTTTTCTCTGTGGAGCCCGGAGTGCGGGGAAAAATTTTAATCGTGATTAATCACATAATATCGACAGTTAACTCGAGATTAATCGCAAATTAATCGCAGATTTTATTTTTTTATTTTATTTGGGCATTTTAAGAATGCAAATGTACAATAATGTAAAAAAAAACATGCTTATACAAAAAGTTCTTTTATTATCATTATTTTTCAAGCACTTTTAAGAAAATAGAATAAAAATATCCTGGTTTAAATTCTGGCAAATAATTACTCAAAAATAAAAAAATATATATAAAACTAAAGAACAGTAAACAGTACTTCAAAGTACTCCGTAAACTTAAGTTTTTTCTCAAACGTAGGACAAAAATAAAGATGTACTGTTAAAATAAAGTGCACATTCCGTTATGAAATTCAGACTTAATTCAAATAAAATGAAGTTACTCACAGAATAATAAATAAATCAAACGAATTTACAATAACTGGGCTTTGCAGTCATCTCAACAACATAACATTTTACATGTAGAACATTTTCAAAATGCTTTAATATTCCTTTGGTCTAAACAGGAACTGCAGCAGCAGTGCATGTCCACATGACTTAGTTCATTTCTTTGTATTGTTGGCACAGAAGAAATAAAGAACACAAGCGAACGGTGCATTTGTTTTGATGCGCAATTAACGTGCGTTAATGTCGGACTTAGACAGATTTATTTTGTCATTTTGTATACACAAGTGTAAACAAAAAGAAACTTTGTTTAGAACAGCTCTCCAGACAATTTAATTTTTTAATGTGCAGCCTTGATAAGGTAAGCAGTAGTTGTTGTGGTGCTGCTTCTACTGCCTCCAGCTCCTGAAGCACTCGCTTCTCCTGGCTCAGGGGAGGAAGAGGACAATGATGACGATGCTGTGAGGGTGGTAGCCCCCTGGACTGAGGAGGCTGACATGGTTGAAGCAGCAGTGGTGCCATTTGCAGGTTTAGCAGCTACAGACGATGCTGCAGAAGGTGTGGAAGCTGGAGGGGGCCGGGAGAAGCGTGCTGGGGATGTTTCAGCATTTGGCAGAGAAGCATCTAGATTGCTCTTCTCATATTCACCTGCAGAGGGCTGTGCTTCTTTCCTAGATGCTGAAGATTGCCTGGGAACAGTATCAGGAGTTTCCAATTACGCAGAGCTCTTTGATTTTATCGGCTAAAATTCTTTATAATTTTATTTTTAAATGAGTTACTGTAGATGTTAATAGAATCAGAATCAAGTTTACTCACAAGTAGGTTTGCACTTACAAGGAATTTGAATTGGTGCTGATGATGAAGCCAAATTAGATAAATATACAGACTCTATACCTATTTACAATATAACTATACATTCTGTATTCTGTATATTTAACTGTAGGGAGGAAGAATCTTCTGAGTCTCACTGATGTCTTTTTTTGTCACCTTTAGCTGTGCCCTGAAACCTGTGTGCACTGTGACTGGATCAACTGTCATAGGCTTCACTAGCGCCCTTCACTCAGTCCCTGACCGCTGCAGCTACTCACTCCTGAAGTCTTCATCCCTACCTGGCCTCCATGTGCTGGGAATGTTCACAGAAAAACGACGCAAAGATTTGAGTTTTCTCAACCGTGTCATTTTGCAGCTAAACAAGAATGGTGCTGAAATATCCCTCGAGCAAGGCAGCAGAGTGAAGGTGATACATTAAAGGAGCCATAACCTGGCATATTACAACAGTCCTTCTGAATGTTTTAGGATAGAAAAAAAGTAATTTCATACCCCGTTTTTTCCCCTTATGCCAAGAATTTGACTTGTGCCTATTCATGTGGCTGTAGTATTAGCCACATTAGCAGTCTACTATGGTTTCTTTACCTTTGTTTCCAAGTACGTTACACGAGGGGTAAATATTTACACAAGGAACAACATTTCAGACTGCCAGCAGGGCTTTGTGGTTTAAAAAAAAAAAAACACAATCATGATTGTTCAGCATGTTTAACTGAGGCTCAACATAGATTGATGTTTTCACATGAAAAAACTGATTTCTGGGACAATGACATTTTAAAATCATTGATAATGTTTGCTTATTTAATAGACAATATGTATCTCATTCAGGGAGCAAAAGAGAGAAATAAAACTTTATTTATAAATGATAAACAGACAGCGAAATCATTTCACATTTTTTTAATTAAAGGTCATTCATACATGGGAATTCAGTGTTCTGTGGTACAGCAAATGTTGTAGAATCAGGGAAGAAGAAGGAATAAATAATTGAAAAAATATATCAACAAGCATTTTATAAAAATGCTTAGCATGTATTTGTAGAAGCAAGCAACCGAATGAGACAATAACCTAACAGAGTTTAATGTGATATGGTGGGTATATGATGTTCTGTCCTTTCTTTCTCTCATCCATTAAAGGTAAATGGTGAATTCCTGACAGTTGGTGCAAAACCGCAGATAGTCCACAGTGTGGAGCTCTCCAAAGGTGAAATGGGTGTGACTGCAACGTTCCAAGACTCCAACCACACAGTGTCTGTTGTGTTTGATGGCAACACTGCAATAATTTACCTATCAGGTTAGTTTTAATGGCTGAATGCTGATTTGTTTATGGTTTTTTTGCAGTCTTGTCTTAAGTGAACATCCAGAAATGCACAGTATTTACATTTACATTGGATAGGACAGGTATTCCTGGCAATTTTGCAGTTTTCCCACTCCCAAACTAAGTAGAAGACCTTCATTTTTATTATAGATTATATTTAACTATGAGTGATGAAATTGCAAAACAATCCAGAAAAATCACATTGTCTGTTATTCAAGTAATTCATTTTTATTTTCCTCCCGGATCCAAATATTCATACATTATTCAAACTTAACAAAATATTAGGTACAGACACAATTGTGTGCAATTATAGATGCCAGTCATTTCCTTTAGTCCTTGAAGAAGTTTGCACACTGCAATAGGAGTTTTGAACTACTCCTCCATACAGATCTTCTCCAGATCACATAGGTTTCTTGGCTTTTATGATATATGGCCCCATCCATCCCCATCATGTTTCCACATCCATGGCTTACATTTGAGACAATGTTCTTGTGTTGTACTCATCCATCTTCCTTCAAATGCGCTGAGTTGAGAATAGACCAAAACCCTAAATTGCTGTCACATCATACTACTAGCGGGGAGTGTTGGCCTAGTGGTTAGAGCAGTGAGCTTGTGCTCTGAGAAGGTTGCAAATACCCAGTTAAATCCCATCAGCCTCCACTCTGGGTTCCTGAGCAAAGACCACACTGATCCCCAGGCACCGCACAATGGCGGCCCACTGCATCCCCTGGGGATGGGTTAAATACAGAGAGTTCATTTCATTGCACTGTACTTGTGACAGTGTAATGACAATAAAAAAATAAATAAAAAAGCTGGAAAAAAAATACATGACCTTCTACCATTCCACCTCTTGATCACCAAGATGGTCACTGGAAAATTTCAAACATACCGTATTTTCACGACCATAAGGCGCCACGTACTAGTCTCAGTTATGTGTGCCATTATTTAACACACACATAAGGTGCACCAGACTATAGGGCGCAGGTTTTATATACCATTACATATCCTCTACTATGTTTAAATACCTCGACTGCGTATTTAAAAATAGAGCGGGAGCAAAACTGAGTATGTTTGTGCTTTATTCATGTATTTATTACAAAGTATTAATCAAACCTGGGAGCTGGCCGTGAGACAGACACATCGCTCTGATGACACAGAGCACTGTGATCACTCCTCTGAAACAGTTTATTGACGCATAAATTAACTTAAAATGCAGAAATCTGCCGGCAGAATATGTTCGCTTTTATTATCCTGGTGCCTGCAGTTTAGATTATTTAGATAAAAAACACCTACCAGCTGCTGCGGTCAACCGGGAGGAGGCGACCCGGCCAGAGGCTGCTGTTGAATGGGATCCTACTGACAGTGCACCGCTGGTATGTGGGGGTCTGAGCGGCTCCGACAGAAAAAATATTGGAAGGTGGGATTGTAATCTGGATGAACTGACTGCAATTATTAAGTTTTCAGGTGGACTTTCTCTCTTAAAAACATATTAAAACTACTTTATTCCCACTGATCACAGCAAATATAGCTGCAAGGCAAAGAAAGGATAGAGTAGCTCCGCCCAATGCGCGTCAGAAACACTTTTGCACCGCGCAGCGAGAGCAGCAAAGATGCTTCAGCCGCGCGTCAGAACTAACTGGTACAAGCAGCAAAAATGAAGCAGCAGACGCAATTTTGCTGCTCTTGCTGCTTCCGGTGTGAACGTAGCATTACTTTGAATGGCCGGTTCACACCGATGTCGAGCGGTTGAAGTTCCTTTGTCAGACCTCCTGGAATAACAGCAAGCACAGCGTTCATTTGTTTCACCATGTTTTTCACATCGGCTGTGAGATGGGCACGCATGGAGTCACAGATTAACAGCTATGGCGATGCGTGGAAAAAACCACCTGGTCTCCTTACATTCACCTCCCTCAGCCACTCTTTCATCATCTCCTCAATGAGGAGATGAGGAGTTCTGCATTAAGCACATACCTGTTCTTTGATACACAATCCACGCCCACACTTCCCCCTTTAACGTTCTCATGGTGGTCTCAACAACGTCCGCAGTAACAACACACATAGGGCGCACCGCACATTTTGAGGGGAAAAAAAGAAGTTTATATGCGCATAATAGTCGTGAAAATACGGTAATTTTTTGTGCATAAATCTTGCCCTTCTGAGGCTCTGTGAAGGCAAATCTGTGTTTTGCATGGTCCAATACGGTGGCACAGACTTAAAAAATTATGTACCAGTTTATTAATGGAGAATCCATTAGTCAGCTTTATATTTTTTAATATATAAAAACTATGTATTTTCTAAGAATGTGTTTATCTAAGAGTAACTATGCAAGTTAACAAACATCTAGAAAAAGTACACTATATTATATTATTTTACATGTTAACCCAAGATTGTTCATGCTTCTTTGCCTTTTCTAAAAAGTGTTTTAATTCAGTCCTACCTGTCTTTATCCATGATGGGTCAGAGTTTGAAAAAGGAGGCAGGGAAAGCAGGATACAGCATTAGCCTCTCTGCATGCATTTAGCCAAGCCTTGTAGCCAAGCCTTGTAGCTTAACCAGGTTCTAGAAAAAAAAATAAATGAACCATCTGTCTTTTCGAACGCTGATTTTTGGAATGCTTTTGTTCGACTGATAAGGTCCAAATGGTTTCACCTCCAGCTTTTCTTGGTAATTTTACTTTAAGGGATTTTATTTCCATGACTTGACCTGTTAATCACCTGCACTACGACTGTAATGATAGTTTCTGCCACCTCGTCCTATACTTCTGTACTGCAAAAGCTACTGGGCATGTATACTTTTAACGAGAGTCAATTTTTGCGCCCTAGGGCAGAAATGGTCACAAATCTGATTAAATTAAAACAACACAATATATTTATATCAATATATTTGGTTTTTTATGTCTTTCTAAAGGACATTGGTTGGGTGGGGCTGTGCCCTTTATTGACAAGCCACCTCTGCTGCTTACTCTGATCTCTTTCCTTCTTTCTAGGATCAAGTGAAGTACCTGTGCAGGGTTTATGTGGTAATTCAAGCTCAGATCTAAGCCAGCAAAAGCTGTCTGACTACAGTGAAACTGGGTAAGAACTCATTTCAGGATATCTATAGGATTACTCTTATCATATAGAGAATTTTTTTGAACAAATAAATAATTGAAATTTAATTTTGAATGAATGGAAAAGAAAATAAAGGGAAAATGTATAACAAATACAACTTAAAAGTCCCAAAAGAAAAATATTTATACTGCTTCAATAACTGTACTGAGCCCAAAAAACGAGTGGGAAGCAGTATATTAGCAGTTCCTATCCCTTACTACACATGATGTTTTTATATATATTTGAAAACACAATCAAACCATGAAAAATCTCTTTCAATAAATAGGTTTATTGGTGTATAGTGGAAATGTACATATATGCACACATTTGAATAAACACATTACAACTCAAATACATGCACAATTACATTTTTATGTTATTATTGATATTCATATCAGTGAACACCACATCCATTTTACTGTGATAAACATATAATCTATCAATAGATATATACACATATATTTAGACTATCCAGAGTTTCCATATAATGTTATATACAGTGCTCAAAAATAAAGGAAACATGTAAACCATCACACAGATCTCTTAACTTTCGAAAAAGTTAATCAACAAACATCCTTCTTTGCCACAATCGTTTTCCAAAATCAACAGCTTTGCCTTTTGTAGTGAACGATTGTTTCTCTGCCGCACAGCTGCGCTTTCATTTATAAACTCAGGCAGCTGATTTTACTCACGGCCCTAAACATTAATAAGATGTCCTTTTTAACAACAAAAATGTTACAACCCTCCCCCAAGGACCACAGAATTCTGTCACTATTATGATAACATTGCACAGGGGTTGACGTTAAGGATTTCGTGCAAGTGGCTTTCACATTTAATTTGCCCAGAAACAATTTTTACTTGCCCATTATAATGTTTGATAAATATAGTTTCTGATATTCATTTTTTGTATGTATATCAATAAAAAAAATTTGTTTTTTTGTAATTCAGTATTTTTTAAGTTTCCAGGTTCCTGGTGTGTATATGCATGCGTCAGATAATGAACTCAAGCCTACATTACCGTGTTAACATGCTTTTTTTAATCCTTCCTGCACATTCTTTTCAAACTAAACTTTGCTTTAAACTGTTGTGTGCTTGGAAAAATATAAATTGTAATGTTAAAAATCTAATCTGACTTTTAACTGACTCAGGATTAGTTTTCCCTGACAAAATAAATGCAGCCATTTGTCGTTTTGGTAACTTCATCAAAATTACCGCTAGGTGGACAAAAATCACGCCATCTGGTGGAAAATCACCCGGCTTTTTTAAATCACGTGAAAATGTGTACAAAACAACAAAAATGGCGCCGGCAACGCTTCTGGGTCGTTTTCATCGAATGTCAGGGATTTTGAAGTAATTTTGAGTGATAAATAATTTTTTTTTGCGATCAATTTGTACTCTCCCAACAATAAAAACTACTTGCTCATTGGTTAACCAACTTTGTTGGTCTAACATACGCAACAAACCAACTGTTGTATTTTGATGATACCAGCCCTCCTATGGATACTGTAATATCCTGCTGAGGTCATATGAATATTCTAATGATAAAGATGGTTTTGCAAATAAGACTCCAGTCAAGTCAGATGAATAGTTGTTTAACGTGGTAGGAGTTCATGATGGAGCTCAGTTGCTCTGACATGACTGGATTGATAACACGATTTAGCTAAAATTCATCTGCTCAGTATTGTGACACACTTGCTGCCATATAACCACTGTCTTCATTACAAAAGTAACTGTCTAATATGAATCTTCTTATTGCTGTTCAAGCTGTGAGACGCAATATGAAGATGATGCTGACGGTACAATCAGCTGCAACAGCACTGCAAAATGGTGAATATAAATCTAGTTCATTCCAACTTTTGGAACTAGACCCCTTTACTACAGTACTTACTTACCTTACTACTATTCCTTTCTGAAAATTGTTGTGTTATATTATTTGAATTGCTGGAACAGGTGTAAGCTCCTTGAAGAGGGTCCTTTCACTGCCTGTAACTCATATGTCAAGCCGGAGCCCTTCATTCAGGCCTGCACACAAACTTTGTGCAGATATCCTGCAGAGGATGGTCTTCAATGCCAGTTTCTAAAGGATTACGCTGAGGTCTGCAAACACCAAAGCAATGTAACAATTGAGGATTGGACAACATATACAAGTTGCTGTAAGGCTGTTGTTTTTTTCTTTTTAATACTCTGGATTATATACATTGAAGTTACCTTTAAATTTTGAGCTTTTCACTTTTTGGCTAGTATATACATGTGACTTTTGCTCAGATTATTTTTATATTATAAACTTTGCTTTTGTTAATGGAATCAATTTTTTGGAGTGGCATTTATATCTATGCATGTTGGTGGTGTACTTTTAGATTTAAATCTTGGTGCATAGTTAATGTAGATCATCACAAATATATGCACACCAAAGTTTTAAGGGAATAATCATTACCCTAGATGACAGAAGCTGGCTCATTATTTTATAAACCGACCGCTGCTGTTTGTCTGCAGTATAATCTTACAATGTTGTTGTCGGACCTGCAAGGTGGCCAATCATATCCCTTAAGGACATTATTTCATGCTTGACGTCTATTTCTGAAAAAATAAATGTTCTGTTTTTTGCCATGATTTTGGTTTTGCAGCTCTCGCTCCTCAAGCTGACTGTCAGGATATGATCTGCAGCGCTCATGAATTCTGTGGTGTGGACAGCTCAAGCAGGCAGCCTCGCTGTCATTGTAGGGCCCTTTATGCTTCCAAGTACAAATCAACAAACTCCTTTGGTAAGTGAGCACTGATGTATATTACCAATAACATCTGAAAGTAATCTAGGATTTAAAGAAAAAGTACATTATTAATAAATAGGGACCTTTTTTTTCTGAAAAAGGAATATGGTTAAAACATTTGGTGAGGTCACAGAGAGAGGCTGTTTATAGGAAATCCCTCATACATCTCACAGCTTAGGTTGAGAGATCGATGTCAAAGATGATCAGTGGCACAAAAATAATCTCACTGAGGTTAATTAGCTAAATGTATCCACTAGGGAGCAGTATGTTAAAATCTCTTGTCTTTTGTACTAACACACAATCATTTTAAGTAACTTTCAAGTAACTTTTCTTTATTTAAAAAAAAAAGGGATGGGGGTGGGGGGTGGACCGTTCTTTACTTGATCATATTCAAATCCAGGGTAAATACGATCAAGTAAAATTATACGACTGACATAAAATCAAATACAAACAGCATAAAAATGAAACAAGCCGGTCCCATCGAGGCGCAATTGGAGACAATGACACATGAAGGGTGCTAGTGATGTCCAGTCTGCTCAGTAGCTTTGTTTTGGTCACTGTAACTGCAGAAAATCCCGCTTCACAAAGATAGGATGTTATAGATAGGATGAGTCTGAATTAACATAGATGCACCGACTGATGTAATTGGGAGAGAATACCGCATTTTAAAAATATTTTTCAAAATAAAACATCACTCAGACTCTGATCGTCGATAAATTATTCTGTGAGGCCCGGTACCAAATGACCGACGGACCGGTACCGGTCCGCGGCCCGGTGGTTTGGGCTGGGTTAGATGACTCATAAAAATGGCTGCTACCATATGGCCGATAGCTGAGGTAGCTTAGAGCTAACGATGCTAGCGGGTCCAACCAATTTCCTAAAAATTAAGCAGGCAGTAACACAGGATGGATCATTAAGGCAGGCTATGTGAGCATTTACATTCAGTTCAAAACTCTTACTTCATCAGCAGATGAATCTCAAAGCTTCTCTCACATAAAACAACAACATCTAAAATAGCTATTCTACCCATCTCTTGCCCAAGCAGAGTATTTATTAACCATCAGAAGAAACAGGGGAAAAAAGTTTTACTTGTTGGCTCAATGTAATGGAGGAGGTTTGGTTCCGTTTGGTCCGACTTGGAAAAAGGGGGAGGAAGTCTGTCTCGTTCTCTAGGAGAGATTTGGGTTATTCTGATGCAAAAAAACAGAAGGAAACTTTGCAGGGCTTAAATTTGTCACTTACAGCAGCCTTAGCACGGGCAACACCTTAAAGCAGCATATAGCTTTGTACCATCGGCTCAGACGGCAGTAGCACAGCTCCAAACAGTAGCCAAATCAATGGATCACGTCTGGAGGTTTCACAGTTCAGGACAGTGGCAGAACCAGTGTGGCACGGCAACACTGCAATTGAGCCAGGCTGTTCCATGGTAGAATGCAAATGGAGAGTTTTCTCATCTGCTTCAGCAGACAGGTTCATGAAACTCTGCTATGAATCTGGTTTAAAACGCAGGAAAGACAAAAAACTACATTCAGCTCTTTGTGAATGTAGGCAAAATGTAGTCTGATTTGGCCAACGAACAGAGACTCTTCTTCAGAGGGGATTTAGTGGCCACGTATGTAGCCTCAGCTGAAAACCGCTGAGGCTACGAGAGGCCAGAGAGCTCCAGGCAAGAGAGCGTAGGGTGGGAGTCGGCTGCTTAAATAATCTCAGTCACAGGGATGTGACGTAAGGGGGGGAGTCGCTCTTGTCTTGTCATTGACATCTGATCTTTAAGCCACGGTTCTAGTTCAAGCCACGATTTGCATGCTGCACATGTACACATCACCATAAACATTCTCAAAGTTCATAACCATTACACAATACACTTGACTACAGATGACAGTCAGAGAAGTCAGAAAAGTAAAGTATCAGTTACCTTTTTTCTTGGTTGTTTGCATAACAAATTAAATTGGTTGATCACAAACCGACTGCTTGGTCAGTTTCTGAACATATATTGGTTAATTGAACCAAAATCGGTTTAACCAACTAGATTAGTTGTTTTTCCAACTATTCCATTCTTACAGTAATTGTTACTAATGTTTTGTACAGAATGAGCTTCTGGTCAAGAAATGTTCTTGTAAAAATATAACATCTAGCAAAAGCTCTCCTCTGACCACATATTTAGAGTCAATTAACTTGTCTTATTGTTTTACATATGAGAGAAGTCTAACACTCTAAATAAGCATTTCACTGGTTAACTAATCCTAAGTACCCACTGATGTTCTAATGTTTAGGTGAGCCAATTGTCTGTGGAGACAAATCTGCCACAGTAACTCTGGCAAACTGTCTGCTAGAGGATAAAGGCATTGACTACTCTGTCTTACATCTGAATGACCAGTCCTGTAGAGGTGAATTGGATAACCTGACAAATATGGTGACATTCAGATTCAACAGTGGGAACACCTGCGGTACAGTGGTTCAGGTAAGTATCCTTTTAGGAAATACATTTCAAAGGGTTCAAAAGAAAATTGGACAACTTCTGACCTAAGATTGTAATTTGTGCCAAATGCAGTACCTAGCAAAGAAAATAGAGAGTAGAAGCAGTCAACATCCATTCTTGGCATAAATTAGCTTTTACATTGAAAAAACATGAACTCATGGGTTTACATATGATGGGTTGGCAATAGGAAAAAAATTATCATATCAAGGTTTTCTTTATTTGTATTTGAATGACATATGGTAGAACCAAAGAAAGATGTGAAATTTAAATAGAAAAGAAATGTTTCCAAAGAAGCAAACAATTTATTCAAACAACAAATAATGTTGGCTCTATTTTTAGACTCAGGACAGTAAATGCAAAAAAAAACCTTGATGAATCAAGATAGATTTTTTTTTCTTTTTTTCAGATTTTAAATGATAAGAAACTAAATAAATTTTTCAGAAAAACAGTTTGGAAAATTAGTTCTAATCCGTTATCAGTAGTTATTTAAGATAAGTAGAAGATTATGGCTTCATGCTTTTTATCCATAAACAAAGCAGTTTTGAAACCTTTTATCCTACAGGTACAATAATACAAGCATTAATATTTTCTATGTTCATGTGCAGGCAAACAACAGCCAAATTATCTACAAGAATTCCATCATGACACAGAACATCTCTATGTTTGGGATGATTAGCCGTCATGACATGGTGCATATGGACTTCTCCTGTCATTACAACAACCCAGATGTTAAGACTCTGGGCATCAGATTTAGACACAAGTATGTAGCGTGTGTGTGTGTGTGTGTGTGTGTGTGTGTGTGTGTGTGTGTGTGTGTGTGTGTGTGTGTGTGCACATGTCTAGCCCTCAGAGTGAGGACCAATTTTTCCAATTTCACCATCAAATTGAGGACCAGTTGTTGCAAAGTGAGGACATTTTGCTGGTCCTTACAAGCAATTTTGCTAATGATTAGGTTTAGGACTAAGGGTCAATTGGGTTAGGGTTAAGGTGAGGTATGCATTGGTAATGGTTAAGTTTAGGGTTGACTAAAAATCAATGGAAGTAAATGGGAGTCAAAACGAGTGTGTGTGTGCGTGTGTGTGTGTATGTATGTGCATCATTCACCCAAGAAGTTTAAACTTTTTTCAGAAGGTTTATGAGTCTTTTTTTGTTTTCAGTGAAAACAAAACAATTTACCGAATGAACCTGTGTCTGCCTTCTAGCTCTGTTATCCAACATATTTCTTCTGGTGAATGGAATTATAATCTGACCATGGAGGCCTACACCAGCCGTGACCGCACAAAACCCATTGATTATGACACAACAGTTGACCTGAACCAACGACTCTGGGTAGAACTGAAGACATTTGGACTTGATGAGGACATGATAGCCATCGTAACCGACTCCTGCTGGGCAACAGATCAGCCATCCCCAACTAGAGGCCTGAGATACGACCTTATTATCAATGGGTGAAACATACAGTAATCCTCACAGAACTAAAAGCTGTCTATGTAATTCTTACTCTCTCTAACATTTTGGTTTAATGTTTTTGTGCAGCTGCCCTAATCCCAAAGATCCAACCGTGCAGGTGGAAGGAAATGGGCTTGGAACATCCAACTCTTTCTCTTTTAATAGCTTCCAGTTCACAGGAGGTAATGGCAATGTTTACTTGCACTGCCAAGTAGAGCTGTGTGTCAAGCAAGCAGACAGTTGCATCCAGGTATGTCTTCGTCATTAGTATTTTCACTTAAAACATTAGATACCTTCTGAGTAAAACAGGTTCTCCTATTTTCTATTAAACCTTTGTATTTATTGCCAATCTTCAATAAATGATTCTATAGAGGTGCAATCAGATCGTAAGAGGCCGCAGATCTGCAAGGCCAAAATATGAGGATGAAAACCCAACCTTCATCTCAGTGGTATGGACATATTAGGTAAGGGTATCCCTATTTCAGGCTTTTCTCAGGTTATAAAAAAGGATCTGAAAAAAAATGACATACTTCTAAAGTCTCTAATGGAAACTAAAGAGTTCTAATGGCTGGTTTGTGGAACTCCAAAGGCAGCAAGCAGGTATCTTGAGGCCAGGTGTGCCACTGTGTGGGTGGTCACAGAGACAAAAACTCAGCCTGTTGGGAGTTTGTGAAGAACGTGAAGAAAGACTCATCGTTAACCTAAAATGGTTTCTGTTGAACCTTTAGCCACTTCTGGAGAGGGAAACGATGTTTTGTCTTGACTTTCATTTTTCTAATTTTTCTTGGTTCAAATTTATCAGGGTCTTTAGTTGTTTGCAAATAATAAATCTATTTTGTTACCACCATTAAAAGTAACTGGGTTTTCTGATAGATTATTTTTTGTTTCTTCAAGTATAAATTTTAGGTTAAAAAAGAGATTAAAAAGCACTTATAGGTAAAAAAAGGTATACACTGCAGAATGTTAAATCCATTTGTTATTATATTTCCATTGGTTAATCATTTTAATATATATACTACATCTAATATCTTATGTCTACGTCTAATTTGATTCCCAGAACAAATGTCTGTTCTATTCTATTCTATTTAATTATTGTTTGGACATGAATATATCGACAGAAAAGTCCCACTCACTGGCCTACTAGTCCTACTCCCTGTCTTTCATTGAAATACATAATAAATCCTTAATTTTACTTCATCTGATACATGGAGAAATTTACTTTTCAATCCAGTTTAATCCATCTCTTTTTTTTTTATCTGTCATATTATAAACAAACAAACAAACAAACAAACCAAAAAAAGAAACTGGAACAGCTGCAGCTAACATTTGCCTATCTTTTTAGGATTCCATGGAAATCCATGGCGGTGGCATTAATCAGTTGGGATCCGATATGAAGAAGAGTTCTTCTTCCAGTTGTCAATACTGACTCTATGCAGGAATCTGGGACAGACCCTTTATCCTATTAAGTAAATAGTAACCTTTGGGGAGTATCTTATATGGTCTGGTGGTGGGATGGTTTTACAAAATTATGGTAAGAATGCATAGTACTCAGTGTAGCAAAACAACAAAGGCTGTAAAAGATCATAAAACTTCTCCTGGCTCATTTTCCATGTCTTGGATTTGCTTTAGAGGTCCAGCAATACCTGTTCAGCTTAGGCCCACAATCCTGTCTTTCCAAGTTTAAGCATGGGGCACCAGATAGTTTTCAAAAAATATATGTTGAAAGGCTATTCATTTATTATCTGCAGAAAGAACCAAGTTCTTAATCCTGAAACAAAATTGAGATCTTTCACAGTCTAAATTGGATTCTGCCAGGGCTACTTCCTGTTTTAATTTCTAGTGTTGTTACAGACAGCTGTCAAGACATGATTAAAGGAACTTTATTTTTGATTTTCATCTGATCTAGGAATATGCCATAGCGCATTTGAGTGGATAACTCATTATCTTGATTCTTTCCATATCCACAAAGAGAAAATTAATCTAATCTCAGTCTGAGGACATGGTTCTCGATTGGGAATTGTTAAATTATACTGTTTGGGGTGAATCTCTTTGTGAATATCACAAATTTAACAGTCTAACAAGATATCAGAAGGAGCTCAGGTCTTTTTTATTTATAGAAACTTCAAATTATTTTGGTAGACAATATTTCACTTCCTCAACAAACGGAAGTTTGGAGACTAGTTTTGTAATTTAAGACTGTATTTGACTTTTTCCTTAGCCACTCCTTTGTCTTCTTGTTAGTGTTTTAAGCCACTTCTTGCAAGAATGTTGTTCCAAAACAATTTTTCATGTCCTAGCTCAATAAGGCTGTTCTGTTTTTTTTTTTCTTATTTTATGGCTAATGGTTCAATTTATTGCCCATTTTAGTTGTGAAATGACCCTCCGCTCTCAGCACATAAACAGTCCTAAACAATAGTCTTTCTACATCAGCACTTCACCATGCAGACTGCACTCTTTGGGCCATACCCAGTATTTTCTTACACAGCGCTGAGAGAGCTTCATTTTATTCTCATCACAAAGGCTTCTTGAAATTATTTAGAAACTTCCATTATTCTTGAATTTTACAATTTTCCAAAGCAATTGTGCATCAATGATTAATTGATGTTTGTACATGAAAACCAAATGTTTTAATTATAACCCAATTAAATAAAAAATGCTTTGGTTTAATTTGTTTTATTCAATAAAACAAAATCTAAAATGTTTAGGATTATTTCACATACTATATATATACGTCATACTATATGTCATGGTCTTGGTTCTGTTGTTCTTTACTTTGTTCCTTGTGTTCTAGTTTTATTATGTAGAATAAATTTAAAACAATAACACATGCCTATGTTGAAGCCTGTCTTTCTAACTACTATTCAAAAAGAGACCTATTATTTTAGAGAAAATCAATAGGTCTTAAAAATAACAATGAGTCATATCTTAACTGCTACAGTTTATTATTAGTTTTAGTCACACTATTTTCTGAGCTGGTACAACTCCCTTGTGGGATCACCACGGACAGAGAAAAAAGGGGTGGCATATGATTGGAGACCAATATACCGAAGGATTACCTAATAGCTTCATCATTTATAAAAACCAGAGTTTGGCCTAAAAAGCTCTTAGAGATGGAAGAAGTAGAGCTCTGCTTCCCACAGCTGCTCAACACCTCCTGCAGGAAACCAAAGCATTCTTCCTCTCATATATTGCTTCTTTCTGTGCTTCTATCTGTTGTTTCTTTTCTGACTGTGAGTCTTAACCTGCTGGTAATCATTGCTATTGTGCATTTCAGGTAAGCACTCTATTGTAAGACTAAATGGCACTGAAAATGAATCATGGTGCACAAGAAACTGATTGTCAATTAAACATTTTTTTTATAATGCTTTACTTATGTTAACTATTATTGTTTAAATAAGTGACAAGGTCAACATGTGTTTGTGTTTCTAATCTTTCCAGACAGCTTCACACCTCCACAAACATGATTCTTCTCTCTCTGGCTTTCTCAGATTTCTTCGTGGGTTTTCTCTTCTTGTTTCAACTTCTGATGGTAGACGGCTGCTGGTATCTTGGCAACCTCATGTGTGCTCTGTTTCTTACTTTAGATTTAATTCTTGTCTCAGCCTCAGTGGGAAATATGGTGCTTATTTCCATTGACCGTTATGTAGCCATATGTGATCCTCTACATTATCCCACTAAGGTCACTCTGAAAAGAGCTAGAGTCTCAGTTTCACTCTGTTGGACTTGTTCTCTAATTTATTCCACTGTGATGTTGAGGGAGAACCTAGATCATTTGGACAAATTTAGTTCCTGTGCTGGAGACTGTACAGCTGAATATGGTCCTACTGAACTTATTATCGATCTTTTTTCAACATTCCTAATTCCCATTACTGTCATTATAGTTCTGTATGTTATAGTCTTTGTGGTGGCTTTGTCTCAGATTCGTGTCATGCGCTCTCATGTTGCAGCCCTCACAAATCGGCATTCAAAAAGAGCTCTACCTAAGAAATCTGAATTAAAAGCAGCAAGGACTCTTGGAGTTGTTATAATTGTTTTTCTGTTGTGTCTTTGCCCATATTTCTGTATCTCCATATCCAGCTTAGACATTTTGCTTAATAATTTAACAGGTGTTTATGTTATATCATTATTCTACTTTAATTCCTGTCTAAACCCTCTAATCTATGCATTATTCTATCCTTGGTTTAGAAGGTCTATCAAAATTATTGTTACACTTAAAATTTTCAAGTCTGGCTCCTCAAATACAAATTTACTGCAACCCTAAATACTGTACAGTGTCTAGTAAATCTTTTTAGAATCATTACAATCATGACTATCATCATAAATGAATTATTTTGGATTTCATATACAATAGTTATACTTATTTTAAAAAGCTAAAAGAAAATAAATACATTTAAATAGTTCTTTTACAGGCACTTGCTTTACACTAAACCATATTTTAGTGGCTCTGTTAAATTGTAAAAACAGAAAGGTCCTTTGTATACATTCTAGCTCACATTTCTCCCCATAGTAACTCAGAATTTATAAATTTCACTTGGGTTAAATATAATTAATTAGTGCAGCGTTTTCAACCTTTTTTGAGCCAAGACACGTTTCTTTCATTAAAAAAATCCCACGGCACACCACCAGCTGAAAACGTGAAAAAAAGCTTATATCAACAATATAAGTGTTGTGTTATTAATATAAGCTTTTTGTTTAACATTGAAGAATGACGTTAGATTATAACGTCTTGAATTAAAAATATGAATCAAAAAAAGTATTTTATCATCTTTAATATTGACACTCACTCAGTGTGAAACCTGGGGCTGTTTGGATGAACACAGAAATGATATCCTGTCAGGAATCGATCAAAGAAACACACGAATCTTTTCCTCCACAGCTCTTAGTCTTTCTCTGTTTTTAGTTTTTACAGCAGTCAGGCTTGAAAAGCTCACCTCACACAGGTCTGTTGTGGAAAATGGGAGCAATATCAAAACAGCTTTGTTGGCCAGCATGGGGAACTCCTTGGCAGCTGCCAACCAAAAACTGCCCAAAGGTAGGTCTGCAAAACTTAGCTTGAGACCACGATCTTGTCTCAGTTCAGTTAGTTCCTCCTGCTCCTGTAAAGTCATGTCCTTTCTAAAAGCTGATGCTGAGCTGAATGGGTCCCTAACCCAGTCAAGGCACTCTGTGGAGGCTGAAGAGAAATAAAATGACATCTTCTCCTCAAGAGTTTTCAAATGTTTAACTATTATCTCACACAGTGCAGCAGTATTAACATCTTGCCATTTCTTGGTGAGTGGGAACATTTCAAGATTGCCACTTTCCACATGTTGCTGACAGAGTTGCAGTTTTGAACGGAATCCATTTATTTTATCTGTACATGTAAGCAAGTTTTTTCGTTTTGGCCTTGCATTCATGTGTTCAGTTAATTCAGGTGATGAAAAATATCTGCCAGGTATGCCAGCCTTGCACACCACTCAACACTTGCAAGCAGCTTTGCTTAATCGGACCCCTCACTTGTCAGCTCATACAAACGGGCCAGCCCCTTGCCGCACGACAACCACCGGACCTCAGTATGAAACAGCAAGGCTTTATGCTCCACCCCCATTTCCTCACACAAAGCTGCAAATATGCGACTTTTCACAGGTCGTGACTTCACAAAGTTTACCATGCGCACAACATCATCCAACACAGGAACAAAGTCTGCTGGTAAAGTCTTGGCTGCGAGGGCTTCGCAGTGTAAAAAACAGTGCGTAACGATCACATCTGTGTTTTTTTCCTTCACTCTGCGTACAAAGCCTTTGGTGTGCTCGACCATGGCTCCAGCTCCATCAATGCGAACAGTCGTGCAGTTTTCCTACTTAAAGCTACAGTGTGTAATAATTACAGGCATATAAAGTCAGAAATTTAATATATTATACATAGCTATGTTATTTATCATCACCTATGAGCTCAGCCTTTTAACCATAATATTTGCGTTGCCTTAGAATTCGTTATTTATAATTACATAGGAGCGGGTCTCGCAGCCATGGAGGCAGACATCTTTGCACTACGGCAAGCGCAGAGGCAACAAACTAGCGATTGCGAGATCTCCCATGACGCTCGAAAATAACTACGGCAAGTTGAGAGAGATGAACTGAGACGGTACTGAACAGTAGATGGCAGTATTATGCCTGAGAAGCGTTTAGTCTGCCTGAAACAGAAGAAGAAGAAGAAGCAGGTATACTGCGCCTCAGTAACAAGAAAGGTGAACAAGGCGGCAGGCGTGAGTGACTTTGCAAACTGTTTGGCCAAACATCAGACGAATGGAGGATCATGCCTACTCTGTATCACAACGAAAAGCGGTGGACACCGAACCCCCGTCATCTAAGAAGCGGAAACACGACGAGAATAAACGCAAGCATGACAAGAAACGACAAAAAACACGGATCAACATTGGCACGGCATTTACACGATGGAAGTCACTGATGGAGGAAAAAGGTTTTCAAAGTGATGCTCAAGTTGCCAGTTTTCTCTTGGACAGGTAATTAAACCTACACACACAATTGTCTAATATCACTGCAGTTTTTGGAGTACAGGATGCTCAGACCTGTCTAAAACAATAACATGCTGCGCGATGATGCTGTTACTCTCCAGTATACTTATTCAGCAACGTCCCTGACGTTTCACAGGTAATGATTCAGTAATTTTCTGTAAAATAATTTTCTGGATATATACCTCGGTTACTTCTCTCCGGCTCCATTGGAGATCTTCAAGCCTTTCCTCCTCTGCTCTAGTCACCTCGCCCTCTTCCTCTCCCTCTTCCTCGCCTTGTAACCCCCGTGCCACCAAAATGACTTGGACTCTGTAAACGGGGAATATATATTCTTCCAGCGACCACAATCTCGCTGTTAAACTAATGACTACAATTACTTCGTCTGTTTATATCCCCATGCAAAGCAGCTCACCAAAACGTCACAACGATGTAGAAAAAATAACGGGTATATTTATTATCTTAAGTCTACATGAAATCTATACCCTACACAGACTAATGAAATATTATCTGTAAAATTATCTATGTAAACAAACCTCATCACTTGAGAAGGTAGGTGATGTGGACGTCGTGGAAGACATTTTGTCCCGTAACGCTCGCCATACTGTTGGGGGGGAGAAGCGGTGGGGGGGAGACGTTCATGTTGCTGCAGTCTGCAGTCCACCGCTAGATGTCGCTGAAAATTACACACTGTAGCTTTAAGTCCTCCATTTTCCAGATATTGTGATGTGACTCGAAACATTTCCTCTCCTGTTGATTTTTTCTGGCAAAGCCTTGCAAAATAGAAAGTTTTCTCTGATTGTATCTCCATCTACAAAACGCACATTGGCCAAGAGTTGAACATCTCCACTTATATCAGTAGACTCATCAAGTTGCAAAGCAAATTTATTACTGATACGGATCTTGTCCAAAACCTGACTTTCAATGTCTGCAGACATCTCATTAATACGTCTGGAATTTGGTATGCATTGGTAATGTGTGTGTGTGTGTGTGTTTGTGGATGGGTGTGTGTGTGTGTGTGCGTGTGTTTATGTATGTGCATCATTCACCCAAGAAGTTTAAACTTTTTTGAGAAGATTTATGACTCTTTTGTTTTTAGTGAAAACAAAACCATTTATCGAATGAACCTGTATCTGGTGAATGGAATTATAATCTGACCATGGAGGCCTACACTAGCCGTGACCGCACAAAACCTAGTGATTATGACACAACAGTTGACCTGAACCAACGACTCTGGGTAGAACTGAAGACATTTGGACTTGATGAAGACATGATAGCCATCGTAACCGACTCCTGCTGGGCAACAGATCAGCCTTCCCCAACTAGAGGCCTGAGATACGACCTTGTTATCAACGGGTGAAACATACAGTAATCCTCACAGAACTAAAAGCTGTCTATGTAATTCTTACTCTCTTTAATATTTTAGTTTAATATTTTTGTGCAGCTGCCCTAATCCCAAAGATCCAACCGTGCAGGTGGAAGGAAATGGGCTTGGAACATCCAACTCTTTCTCTTTTAATAGCTTACAGTTCACAGGAAGTAATGGCAATGTTTACTTGAACTGTAAAGTAGAGTTGTGTATCAAGCAGGCAGACAGTTGCATCCAGGTATGTCTTCCTCATTAGCATTGTCACTTAAAACATTACCTTCTGAGTAAAAAAAGGTTCTCCTATTTTCTATTAAACCTATGAATTTATTGCAAATCTTCAATTAATGATTCTATAGAGGTGCAATCGGATCGTAAGAGGCCGCAGATCTGCAAGGCCAAAATATGAGGATGAAAACCCAACCTTCATCTCAGTGGTATGGACATATTAGGTAAGGGTATACCTATGTCAGCCTTTTCTCAGGTTATAAAAAAATGACATCACTTTTAAAGCCTCTAATGGAAACTAAAGAGTTCTAATGGCTGGTTTGTGGGACTCCAAAGGCAGCAAGCAGGTATCTTGAGGCCAGGTGTGTCACTGTGTGGGTGGTCACAGAGACAAAAACTCAGCCTGTTAGGAGTTTGTGAAGAACAAAAAGAAAGACTAATCGTTGGCCTAAAATGGTTGCTGTTGAACCTTTAGCCGCTTCTGGAGAGGGAAACAATGTTTTGTCTTAATTTTAATTTTTCTATTTTTTCTTGGTTCAAATTTCTCAGGGTCTTTAGTTGTTTGCAAATAATAAATCTATTTTGTTACCACCATTAAAAGTAACTGGGTTTTCTGATAGATTATTTTTCGTTTCTTTAAGTATAAATTTTAATTTAAAAAAGAGATTTAAAAAAGCACTTATAGGTAAAAAAAAAAAAAGAAAAAGTTATACACTTGTGGAATGGTTTTGAAGCTGTACATGGACAACTGGCTGTGACTTCACTCATGGCTTTCAAAAACAGAATAGCTTTAGATACGTTATTAGCAGAAAAAGGCTGAGTCTGTGCTATCTTTGGCAAGCATGCTGCACCTTCATCCCTAACAATACAGCTGCCGATGATAGTCTAACTAAAGCTGTTGATGGTCACCGTGCATTATCCAACAAAATGAAAGAACATTCAGGTGTAGACACTTCTATGTGGGACAATTGGATGTCTATGTTTGGACAGTATAAAACCCTGGTATCATCTGTTTTTTTTTTTCTATCTGTTGCTTTTTTTGCTGCCATATTGACCCTTTGTGGATGTTGCTGCAATCATTGCATAAGAGCTTCAATTCAAATATTATTAACTACAACAATAACCCCATTACAGCAAGATGTGCACATCCTAATGTACAATGAAGAATCTGATTCTATCAAACCCCTGTTGGAGGATGATTCTGTTGAAGCACTGATGTTCGTCCTGATCATTCTTATTGTTTTTGCTATTATTTTACTCATTTATATTTCTATGTATTTTATGTTATTTACAGTTTTTACTCTGTTTTATTTTGGTTTGTAATTGTTCCGTTAAGGAACAAAAGGGAGAAT